ATACTATTTCAGCTGCAGGGTGTCTTTAAACAATGACTCAACAAACAATAAACACATCTTCCACCCACCACACAAATTTTAGCCACAATTGAACAACCAAGAAAGCAACAAATATCAGACTGCATCTTGAAAACAATGAGATACCACATTACAACCAGTCATTACAAACATGAAATCCTCCACCCCTCCCAGTACACCCTACTGCATTAATGGTTCCTATACTCATTTGCATCTATGTACAACAAGCTTAGCCAATAGATGCACCTGACTCATCAAACTTTTGACCAACCACTCATTCTAAATATTGTTGAGTGAAGTGGGGTTTTTTACTAATGAGAGGAATCATTTAAACAAATTAAACAGATCTAATATTACCAGCAGTGAGTATCTAGTTATGCTTTAATTAGAGAAGGTATACAATTCACTCACCTGTAAACATACTATGGGATGACTTTTAACTTGTTCCTATAGATTTTGTAGCCTAGGCGCAGTGAATAGTTGTGCAATATATGATTTCTTAAGTAGTGATTGAGATTTAGTTCTGAAATTAAATTAAATTATTAAAATTAATTCATTAATATTACCAGCAGTGAGTATCTAGTTATGCGTTAATTAGAGAAGGTATACAATTCACTCACCTGAAAACATACTATGGGATGACTTTTAACTTGTTCCTATAGATTGTGTAGCCTAGGCGCAGTGAATAGTTGTGCGAAAAAAAGATTTCTTAAGTAGTGATTGAGATTTAGTTCTGAAATTACAATAAAATATTAAAATTAATTCATTACATCTGTTCTATTTTTATAGAAGAACCTTCCCAAATAAAAGAAATTTTAAAATTTAAAAATATAAGAGGTAGTCACTAAACCATGTACTTTCACACTCAAGCAAGAGAATAGACATGTTGGTGAACTAGCCTTGCACTGTGAGTGTTTTATTGTTAACACTGTAAAATACCAGTTTTTTTCACAAATAAAAAAATAAAAGAACTGCAGACCACACTTCTTTATATTTTTGAGTGGGCCAGCCATGTTTCCACATACAAAAATACACATAATATTTCTATTTATTTATTTTATTTAAAAAAAAAAAATATTTTTGAAGCATAACAATACAACGACTAGATTTGGTGTCACAGTTTGCTCCCTATTCACACTGGAATATTGCCAGCAATAATTAATAAAGCTTGTTCAGAAAACCATTTATTCCTGACATCATATTCAATGGCTAGTTCTCAGGATCTACAACAGTAAATAAATAAACAGAAATCATTTTGATACGTGGTTTTTAGACGACACTGCCATATCGCACAGATATTCAACACCATATCGCCATATCGAATTTGGATTTGGACCATACCATTTCAAGCTGCTGGGTGTCTAAACAATGACTCAACAAACAATAAACACATCTTCCACCCACCACACAAATTTTAGCCACAATTGAACAACCAAGAAAGCAACAAATATCAGACTGCATCTTGAAAACAACGAGATACCACATTACAACCAGTCATTACAAACATGAAATCCTCCACCCCTCCCAGTACACCCTACAGCATTAATGGTTCCTATACTCATTTGTATCTATGTACAACAAGCTTAGCCAATAGATGCACCTGACTCATCAAACTTTTGACCAACCACTCATTCTAAATATTGTTGAGTGAGGGCGCTATTTACTAATGAAAGGAATCTTTTATAGTATGATTATAAATATAATTTATAATCTGTGTTAATGCTCAAATATGACATGCATTAATTGACCAAGCTGGCATCCCCTTTCATATTTGACACTCCCATGCCACATTGTACTTCATGCAATATTTGCTCACATTTCGTCCTTCAGTCAGATTTACATTAATTAACGCCAGACTGTTCATTTGCTTATCTGTGCTCGCATCCTCTTCAAACATCAGTTCGTTTTGCCGCACCGTACGATACACATCGTCTCAGCAGAATTCCTTGCTAAAGCATTTCAGCCATTCATTTGTCACAAATACCAGTCTTTCTTCACGACATCCAGTTCCAACATGCCTCGAGGACGCGGAAGATCTAAAACCAACCGTGGCGGTCGCAAGTCTCAATGAAATCTTCGTACTCCAGCTCGCTTCCAAAATGTTGACACTATAGACGTAACTGACTCACCGCTGCAAGAATCGTCAGCACGCAATGGAGATCCCACTGTACTAGTACAGTCAACGAACTCCCCAAGCGATGTCATCACAGTTAGCAGAAGCAAACTCGCAGATTTCGTTCGTAGCCTACAACAGCAAGGAAACTGTCAGACGCAGCCGAATAATATTTCGCAACCGCCCGCTGCTCCACAACTGTCGGCAAGCCTCGCGTCATCACGCGATCCAAGCCAAACAACACCATCAAGTTCGATGGCAACTGACTCTCTCACAAATAACAGCCTTCCGATGACCTGGCCAATAGCTAGTCAACATAATGCGATCGTACACAATAATACCGCTCGTCAAGACAATTCGATGTTTCACCAACAACTTCCAGCTACTACAAGCCAAGCATCGCTAGCTCACGCTAATCCCATCGTCCGCCTGCACGGTGTTGCTCCGTTCGAACATTTCTCCCTCCACAACACCGTGCGGTAATTCTATTCATAACCGTGTATGTCACGTGGTTGCGCGATAGAAAGTTTACCGACCAATAGAAAGCTTTGTTACAATGACTACCAAAAAAGCGCTTGGGGCTTTGCATTTCTGATGTCTTCATCTTCGGCTTCATTTCTGTCAATATATGTTGCAGTGACACCATGAGCTTTGAGGTATAACACCTACTCTTTTATAATACTCAACAGTGGCTCAACACTATTACCACGCTCGATGGTCGCAAGGCTGGTAAAGCATAATAACATAATGATTTACCATTTCCAGTGCGGCTAAAAACAAACACATCAGACTCGGAACTAAGTATCCTGAACGGCTTTTGTCCGAATATTGTATTGCCTCGACATCCACTGCAAGCCAACACAGCTTCCACTGTGCGAGCATTTTCACTGCCTGGCAACCATCATGGTGAAAACAAAGGCCAAAAACTCTCAGAAAACAGTACTTTGGGATGGTTGTTGACACCCCCTGAACCATGTTACAAGATTACCCTGCATATGCAACATATTTAAATTTGGTTGTTTAGGATTTCTTCAAAGTTATTAAAGTTTGTGCTGTTTTTTCGATTTTAGCTATTTTCAACGGCTTTTCGACCGGCGTTCCACAGCAGCTCGCGCAGAGCCCATAGAAATACATGGTAGAGTGGTGCGCGTCTTGTGAATTAGCTCCGCCCGACAATGTTGATAGCTTGGCCAAGCGCGTTGATGAAAGAAGCAATATGATTGGCTGTTGGTAAACTGATTCCAAACTGTGAGGGCATTGTCACATACACATATTCCTAATGAAATACTTCAAGGTGATAGTGGAGTGCTTCGCCGGAACATTCACCTTGAAAATTCAAGATGGCTAATCCTAGTCAACAAAGTTTTGCTACCGGGGGTCATTTCAACGCAACCAACATGGCCGCTCCCATACAATGTTTCGCCGGTGAGGGCATTCTCACTTCCGCTTCCGGTATCAACACTGCGACACAGGTGATGCCGATGATGAACAATGCCAGCATTGCAGTTCCTCCTATCATCCCACCTGCAGACTTGTTTTTACCATACGTCGACCAGCAAATACTCAATCAACTAGCAAACCGGGGTAAGTTTGTTGATTTGTCCGATTTACACCCTGACTCAAGAAAACCAAATGCCACCCAGATCTCAAAGACCCGAGTGGCTTTAGACTCTGACGATCTCTCAGTCGCTGTTCTCTCAAAACATGCAAAAAAGAATGAAATTCGCGATCTAGCAAACTGGCTAGAATGTTGGTCAACATTTGCTGCCTATAGGGCACATTATTTTCCCCATGAGGCTGTACATCTATTCAACTACCAGCGTCACATCGCCAGCCGAGCTCTTGAGTTCAAGCCAGAGCATGGATCACCTATGACAAAGAATTCCGTCTAGATTACTCACGTTACCCTGGCCTACGGACTAGAGTTTGCCTAACA